CTCCTTCTCCTTCTCCTTCCCCTTCTCCTTCTCCTTCTCCTTGTCCTTGTCCTTGTCCTTGTTCTTGTCCCTGTCCTTGTCCTTGTCCTTGTCCTTGTCCTTGTCCATGTCCTTGTCTTTGTCCTTGTCCTTGTCCGTGTCCTTGTCCTTGTCCTTGTCCTCGTCCCTGTCCCTGCCCCTGCCCCTGTCCCTGTCCTTGTCCTCGTCCTCGTCCTTGTCCTTGTGCTTGTCCTTGTCCTTGTCCCTGTCCCTGTCCTTGTCCTTGTCCTTGTCCTTGTCCTTGTCCTTGTCCTTGTACTTGTCCTTGTCCTTGTCCTTGTCCTTGTCTTGTCCTTGTCCTTGTCCTTGTCTGTCCTTGTCCTTGTCCTTGTCTTGTCCTGTCCTTGTCCTTGTCCTTGTCCTTGTCTTTGTCCTTGTCTTTGTTGTCTCCTTCTTCTTGTCCTTCCCCTTGTCCTTCTTCTTCTCCTTCTTGTCCCTTCTTGTCCTTTTCTCCCTTCCTTCTCCCCTTCTCTTTTCTTTCCCCCCTCCCTCCCTATCCTTTCCTTTCTCTCCCCCTCCTCCTCTCCTCCCCCCCCCTCCCCCTCCCTCCCCCCCTCCCTCCCTACTCCTCCCCCTCCTCCTTCTCCTCCTCCTCCCTCTCCTCCTCCTCCTCCTCCTCCTCCTCCTCCTCCTCCTCCTCCTCCTCCTCCTCCTCCCCCTCCTCCTCTTCCTCCTCCTCCTCCTCTTGCTCCCTCCTTTTTCTCCTTGCTCCTCGTCCTACTGCTGCTCCTTCCTGTTCCTCCTCCGAGCCTCTTCCTCCTCCTCGTCGTCCTCCTCCTGTCCTCGCTCGGCGACCACACAGTGAGGCAATGCGACCGCCGCTCTCCCTTCCCCCGTTCGTTCCAGCCCCCGCCTCGCCGTTGCCACGCCCCCCCCCCTCTCTGCCCCCCACCCCCCTCCTTCCGCGCTTGGGGGGGTGCGCTCGTGGTGGCCTGGCACAGGTCGGCGACATCTGAGGCGGGTCTGGGGCGCACGAGCGCGGGGGGTTACCGGCCCGTCTGTCTGGCAACCCATGCCGGGGAGCCCGCCTGACCCCCATGAGGGGGGCCCTGGGGAGCGGTTGCCGGACGCGGCGTCCGGCAACCGCCAGTGTCAGACGAGCGGCCCGCGCGCCAAGGGGCCGTGTGGAGCGGCAGGACGGGCTCCTCTTTCCCCATCCCGCCCTCGTCGACGCTGCCGCCGTCGCGTCGTCTCGTCGGGGGGTGCGTTGCCGCGGCCAGACCGAGCGGGGAGGTGCCCAGGCGCCCAGTCTCGGGCGGCGCGGGCTGCCAGCCCGCCCGTCTGGCAAGCAACCCTCGCCCTTCAGGGCCGGGCGGGCCCTCGGCCGAGCCGCCCTCCTTCTTCTCCGTCCCCGTGACCGCCGCCGTTCCACGCCGAGTCAGTCCCGCGGCGCGCCCTGCGACGAGGGGGGGTTCGGGCGGGGGCGGCGCCCGATGCGCCTCGCAGCGGGCGCACCCCCAGCGAGTCAGGGGGGCATTCCGTCCACCCGGCCCACCTTGGCCACCGGCAACCGTCCGCGCCGGCCGCCTCCCCCCTATTCTTCCAGCACGCCTCACCATGCACAAACTATTTCAGAGGCCACGGCCTCATTCACCTGGTCTCCAGTAGGCCCGGACTGCTGTCCGCATTGGTGGTCATTCGTTCGTTCGTTCGTTCCCCCCTATTCTTCCTACTGCCTCCGCCCCCTTCTGCCCTCCCCCCCTTCTCCCTTTTCCAGGGATCTGTCGGCCCGCTCTCTCGGCAACCCTTCATGGGAGGGAGGGCCCGGGCCCGCCGCCCCGCCCCCGGTGGCGCACCCGGGTTGGTCGGGGCGTCCCGAACGCCGCGCGGGGCGGGGGTTGCCGGACACCCAGCAACCGCCCGCGCCAGACGCCCCGACGCGAGCGAGTTCATTAACGCGCCCTTCTCGTCCCCGCTCTGCCTCGCTCTGGTGCACTGGGCAGTTGTCAGTTGTTGCTCGAAACTTGCGTGTCCACGAGCTCTATCTGTCACTGGGTGTTGCCCGCATTGTATTCTTTGGCAGACGTTCTAACGACACTCTCTTGTTTTATCCACGCGTGTGCACTGCCTTGTATCACTTGACGAGGGTGGTGGTGGTGGCGGCGGGGGTGGGGTGGGGGACGGGGGACGATAACGGGACTGCCTGGGATTGTCGGATGTTTGTGATGACAAGCGTGCAGAACAAGTGCGGCATCGCAATTGGCGGAGGGTGGCGGAGAATCCTGACCTCGAGGGTAAGGGTCCTGATGTGCAAGCGCTGTTCGGAAGCCATGCAAGAGCCTCGATCATCCTCCTCGTGCTCCTCGCCGTCGAGACCGCGGCCTGCACCCGCATGTTTGGCTCCTTCCTTCGTTTGCCTCCTCCTGCCACCCCGCCTCCCCTCTCCCATCGCTCCTCCTCGCTCCTCTGGAAGCCGCCCCCTCGCCAGGTCCTGACAGAGGAGGAGGAGCAGTACGACTGAGGCTCCACCGAGCGCAGCGGATCCCCTTGAGGCCCCTGACCGTCGGTAGCCCACTTTTCCCCGTCGCGTTGTTCGACTGAGGCTCCCCTTGAGGCCGCCAGCTGCGAGTAGCCGCTTTTCCTGTCGGTGGCGCTAACGAAGGTTAGCGTCGTCAGCTGCTCTGTGAACCAGTCGCCGCCAAGTGCATGGCGTCAGACGACAGATGCACTGCACTCTTCGCAAAAAAGCCCAGCACTCTTTGTATGCACAGATGCTTTTCTCATGGAGCGAGGGCTCTTACTTCCGCCCCCGATGGGATGGGGCTCAGGACTTGTACGCCCCCCCAGGATGGGATGAGAGTGGGGCAGGGTGGCCTGAATCCTGGCTGGCTTTGAGAAGTTTGACATCCTTGCGGGCCCATGGCTTGTCTTGGGAGTACCTCCTCCTGGTAGGCTACGGACCACACTAAACCACACCCGCAGGGGTGGACACATGGGCGGGGATCCGTACTCATGGTATGGGGGGCGGGACGCGCCTTGGAGCAAACATGCACATGCCCGCCTGGCTCCTCTTTCTCCTCGTCTCGATCAGCACCCTCCCTCTTCCTCCTTGTCTCTACTTCTCCGCCGAGTTTTACACGTTTTCAATCGGCGGTTTTTGTTTTCTTTCTTTCTGTATTTCTCTCCCTCTCTCTGTCTTGATCTCCTTTTTTTTTTTTTTCTCTCTCTCTCTCTCTATATCTGAGCTACAGGCCAATGTATATGATTAGGAGTAAGGGGTGATGGGAGGGAAGGAGGTGGAGGATAGCTGTCAATACTTGGGTTCTTGATCATACCATGTTTTACGTGCAGCAACACCACATTGTTCCAGGACGTGCTCGACACCGGCTTTTGTGAAAGCGCAATGAGCAATACAATTGCTGATCGGGAAAATTCCGAACTTGGTGAAGACAGTGACAATGAGAAAAACGACCACCAGGTTGTGGATGCGGTTGCGGGTTTTATATGTAGTTCTCACCTTTTCGCGTATCCCCACCAGCCCATCCAGAAATGGATTGTTCCCATGCGAGCTGTACGAAGATCAACGAGGGAGCACAAGGGACCGACGCTGGGACCCGCCAGAAGAGCCCTCAACAGTGACCAGCTTTCGGATCTCTGGGAGCTCGTTGAAGACATCCTGGATCCATCTTTGGGCCTCCTTCGGGCTCTCAAAGCCTTTGCGGCCCTCCCTGGGCTCGCTTGGGCCCCTCTTGGTCCCTCGCGGGGCCATCCTGGAGGTCTGGCCGGCCAACAGGGAAGCTGGCCCCACTAGGCACTGCCCCTCTTGGAGCCTTCTCAAGTCGCTCTTGGATGCTTCTTTTCCGAGCCTTCGGGGTTTCTAGAGGCTCTTCTTGGCCCCTCTTGACGCCCTCTTGGGTCATCTTGGGACTCTTTCGGTGCCTCGGAGGCCCAAAGGAAGCGCGAAGGCGAGAAGGCATCATCATTTGCCAATTTTCCTGACTTCTCGGCGGCATCGCTAACAGGCTCCGTGACCACCTCGGGCTGTCTTGTGGCGGTCTTTGGTCCTCTTATGGACATGTGTGCATGCCATCGGGGGCTGCAAGGCGCCATCTGAGAGCCATCGAGGGCTACCTTGGATGCTTCATCCCCTCGAGGCCCCCTGGTCCAAACCCGGGGAATGGGCACGAGGGAGGGATCAGCTCCGCCCCGAAGGGGAAGAAGGGGATGGAAGAGAGAATCCGCGAAACAGCATAAGCACAGAGTGCTGATGTGATTTCACATTTGTTTGTTCTCTTTTGTGTTTTGGCAGCCAGCGCGTCGTTTGGAGTTTCAGTGAAACATGTTCACGTCCTGGTTCAGAGAGTACCACCCAAGCCTTGCGAGAGCGCAGCGATCAACGGTGACACAAGCATTGGTACCGGCCCCAGCGAGAGGAGGTCCAGTTCTGCGTGGAGGTGCATGGAGCCGGTGGTTTTCCCAGGCCCGAGCGCACGCTGGTGGAGCTCTCTGGGTTCTGCTCCGAGGGGGTGCGGCCTTCGAAGCCAACGGCGGAGGCCTCGCTGGAGCAGTCGGGCTGGCTGTTCCTGTCCCTGGAAGCCCTGAGGGCAGAGCAGGAGCTCAGAGAAGGAAAACACACCGACACCGCTGCCCTTCCCTCGTCGCCACGGCTGGACTCGCTCCGAAATTCTGGGCAGAACGCACCCCAGGAGAGGTCTGTGGAGTGGCGGTGTCGGTGCCCTCTGGTTCCTTCAGGAGTCACCACCCACCAGACCTCCCCAACCCAACCCGAAGGCCCCGCTTTGCCCTCCATTCCCAGTGGGGGGTGGGCGTCGGGGAACATTAAACAGACACATGTGGGACCCGCAATTACCCCCCCGATCCCGAAGTTTGGGCCTTCAGGTTGGGCGGGTGTGGTCTGCTGGGTAGTCCGTCGGTGCGTCGGTGCCCTCCACTTCCTCCAGGAGCGCCAGCGGCAGCTCGCGGAGGCGAAGGCCAAGGCCAAGGGGAAGGCGACGCCCAAGGGCGACTCCAGGCCGCAGTCCTCGGCCGGCGGAGAGCTGGAGGAGAGCTGCACTCTCACCCTGCCGTGCAGGACCGCGGCTCAGCGGCAGCAGGCGCCGTCGCCCCGTGAGCGCCGCCGGTGGGAGCCAGAAACCTCGCGGGGGGGTGGAAGCGTCAGGGGCAACGTCAGGGGGGGAGCGGCGGAGGGGGGGGGATGCGTCGACCCCCCGTCGCCCACTGATCGCCGACAGCGGCCCGACAGCCCCAGCCTGCCCGGGAACGTGCGGATGCACTATTCGGAGGCCGATGTCGCCGATCTGCCGGTGATGTGTCGCCGATTCCGGGTCGACGTTTCCCCCCCCGTGCCAGTCTCTCCCTATCTATCGTTGCCCCTCAGAGAGAAACTCCGCCGAAGGCATCTATACACCACCACCGTGCCGGGCCAGGGCTATCCTGCGTCCTAGGATGCTGTATAGACCCTCCTGGCCTCGGCCAGGAGGGCGCATTCACCATGCCAGGGCCAGGATGGCCCTGGCCTGTCACGGTGGTGGTGTATAGATGCCGTCTGGGTAAGAGAGAGAGAGAGAGAGAGAGAGAGAGAGACAGAGGAAGAGAGAGAGAGAGAGAGAGAGAGAGAAAGAGAGAGAGAGAGAGGAGAGAGAAGGCTACTGCGGAACTGAGCTCTTTCGTCGCCGAATGCATGGCCCGGGCGCCCCCCCGCAGCGAGGGCGGGCGGATGTGGATGCCATGCTTTCCGCGCACGGCGGGCCGCCAAATTAGGAGGCCTCGAGAGGGACCTCCAGAGGTCCTTGGTGCTCTTGGGAGGCCTCCAGAAGCCTTCAACGGTTCGAACAAGAGAGGCCACATCAAGGGTGAACGGTCTCGTCAGTCGGGTGCCCGCCCACTAGTTGCGGGCAGCGCTCGGCTTCCTGTGAAAAAGCTGCTTGTGCTGCTCGAAACGAGCACCTGCTGCCCCCCCCTGAGCCTCATTCTTTCTCCCTCCTCTTCACAGCCTCCCCTCCCCACGTGCTATTCGTCTCCATCAGCTGCACGGTCGCCGCTACCAGTAATGACGCTAGCAGGCGGTTATGCACCGTGTCGGGAGCGCCTGCTTAGTTGGAACAAAAAGAGACCACATCAAGGGTGCCCTTGCGTCCCAGCCTCAGTTGTAACCTAAGATTTCGGAGCCGTGGCAATCGTTCCGAGGTGACGTCCCAAGGGTCTGGTTTTCTTCATTGTCTGGCTTGGCTGGAGCTTATATTCGCGCAGGTCTGACGCACTGGTCGGAGGCTGCTATGACACTGGTCCGCCGCACTGCTGTGCACCTTTCGGTGGTACCGTTCGGGACCTCCGAAGGCCTCAAAAGAGACTGCCAGCAGCTTCTTGGATCTTCCACAGAGACCTATGATGACCTCCATCAGCGTCTGGACGTCGTCGTCGTCGTCGTCTTCGTCGTCGTCGTCGTCGTCGTTCTTGGCGTTGTCGTCGTCGTTGTTGTCGTCGTCGCCGTCGTCCTCGTCGTTCTTGTCGTCGTTTTTGTCGTTTTTGTCGTTCTTGTCGTTCTTGCCGTTCTTGCCGTTCTTGTCGTCGTCGTCGTCATCGCCGTCGTCGTCGTCGTCGTCGTCGTCGTCGTCGTCGTCGTCGTCGTTGTCTTCGTCGTCGTCGTCGTCGTCGTCGTCGTCGTCGTCGTCGTCGTCGTCGTCGTCGTGTTGTCGTTGTCGTCGTGGCCGTGGTCGTCGCCGGTGACGCGCGTCCAAACTTTCGCGGGCGTCGCCGCCACAATCTCCGCCACCCACCTCCGTGCCGTGAACCCTCCCCCGCCCACCCCGCCCCTGGGTAACGGATGTTGCCCCTGGAAAATGAAAATCGCGATCAAGGACAAGTAGGAAGGGGGGCAACAACCCCAGTCTCACTTCCCCTGCTCGATCCCCCTCTTCCCCTCCTCCAGGCCCCAAGCGGTGTCCAGGCCCGCCGTTGTGGCCGTCGGGCCAAGGACTTGTCCCGGATCCTTGACCCGTGATCTCTCTCTCGAGAGTCCTTCCGGCCGCTCCGCCCCCCCCTAAAGACAGGAACGACGCCGACGCCGCCACCGTTGACGACGATGACGACGACGACCACGGCGCCGACAACGACGGCGCCGACAACGACGGCGCCGACGACGTCGGCGACGCCGACGCCGAAGCCGCCACCGTTGACGACGACGACGACAATGATGACGACGACGACGTTGACGACGACGACGACGACGACGGCGACGACGACGACGACGACGACGAAGACGACGTCGCCGACGGCGCCGACGACGCCGACGACAACGGCGCCGCCGACGACGTGAGCGACGACGACGCCGACGACGCCGACGACAACGCCGACTGCTGCAGTCCTGCCGACCTCCGTGGCCCCGGAGGCGCTGGACGCTGTGTGCACCCCGCTGAAGGTGGCGCTGGTGAGGGCCGGGGAGGAGCGGTTGGTGCTAGGCACGTGCACGCTGGAGCTGCAGGACCGCCCCGTCCTTCGTCG